CATACATCCTCCACTGTGGCTCCAGACCCCTCCGCTCTGAGTTTCTTGGAGATCGTAGAGAGCATGCGCGAGATGAACAAGGGTTTCCGCGGATCAATAAAAATAATTAAAAAATCATTCATTTTTTTTTAAATCAAGGCCTTAATTGGCACTAAAATTATTTAAATATGTTTATCGAAGTATTTATAATTCTTTAATAAAAAATGCTTATAAAAACAATTTCGTCAGATATATTATATCGCTCCAGGCGGAGAAAAAGCTAGAGGATATATATATATATATATACGTATATATGTGTGTGTGTGTTTACATACATACAGGAGTCATGGAACTCTGCTTACAGCTCCTTCATGTTTCATGTACACTAATAACTTGTGTACATGGTTCTTGTTGATGCCCTTAAAATAATTTGTAATAGCATTAAAATAGCATTAAATTAGAGTCACTCATTCCTGTATGAACCCTGTGAGCGCTTAATTTAATATGACATATTAAAAAAATCCCACCATCATCCAGCATATGTTCAGTTTCTGCCCAAATATATATTTATATTTTTGTAGATTTTTGTAACGGGGATAAGGATAATTCAAATCTGCTTTTTTTGAATGAACTTGTTCTCTACTCCCAAACCCAGCATCTCTTTTCATTCCTGTAATAAGAAGTTTCTTTTGAATGGATTTGATTAAAGTTTAAGTCCCTCGGTATAAAATAAATATTTTGATGGAGATGAGAAATCTGCTTCCTCGTTGGTGAATAACCAATAGTTTGGATCCAATCATTTAAATAAACGGTGTTAGTTTTTTTTTTTTTTATATATATAAGAATTGTGCTATAATTTCTAGTCACCGATCTGTTGCTGCTATATTTTAATTTGACGAACCGGAATTTGTCAATGTTCTTTTTCCTGTTTGGTGCGATTGCAATTGCGGATCTTGACCTGGCCGGACCTTATGACCACAGTGTACCAATCTTCTGATGGCTACTTCCAACAGGATAATGCGCCATGTTATAAAGTGAATCATCTAAGACTCATTTCTTGAAACTTTTCCACTGAAGTTATTGTGAATTGAGCATATTGACAGACAACATTTTATTTTTTATCTTAAATGCAATTTTTTTTTTTTATAATTACTGCTCTAAATGTATTGCTCTGTCAGCTAAAGATCTGTTTTGGTCTCTATACTTTAATTAAATAAATCAATTCAAGCTAAAATGTAAGAGGCCATACTGAGCCTGATCTCTTTGTATCAGAGATTTTCTTACCTTTTAGAAAAATGTCACTTGGAGTAAACCCCCCCCCCTGCAACCCTGATTTGCATTTGTATAGCTCACAGCATGTTCATTTACATGTTAAAGCCTCCCCTAGAATTCCATGGGGGGAGGCATGGGGGGAACACTGCCTAAGAGAGTCCACGTCAATTTCTGACAATTTACGGGAGTTTTTGGCGAAGCCTGCAAATTGCCTGAAACTGCCGCTAACCTGAAGTTCCACGACAATCTACAGTGCCGCATATTGATGGAAATCCCACTTTTCATGCAGTGCCACCTCCAACCCACAGACCACCTCCAACCCACAGACCGCCTCCAACCCACAGACCGCCTCCAACCAACAGACCACCTCCTACCCACAGGCCACCTCCAACCCACAGACCACCTCCAACCCACAGACCACCTCCAACCCACAGACCGCCTCCAACCCACAGACCACCTCCAACCCACAGACCACCTCCAACCCACAGACCACCTCCAACCCACAGACCACCTCCAACCCACAGACCACCTCCTACCCACAGGCCACCTCCAACCCACAGACCACCTCCAACCAACAGACCACCTCCAACCCACAGACCACCTCCAACCCACAGACCACCTCCAACCCACAGACCACCTCCAACCAACAGACCACCTCCAACCCACAGAACACCTCCAACCAACAGACCACCTCCAACCCACAGACCACCTCCAGCCCACAGACCGCCTCCAACCCACAGACCACCTCCAACCCACAGACCACCTCCAACCAACAGACCGCCTCCAACCAACAGACCACCTCCAACCCACAGACCACCACCAACCCACAGACCACCTCCAACCAACAGACCGCCTCCAACCAACAGACCACCTCCAACCCACAGACCACCACCAACCCACAGACCACCTCCAACCAACAGACCGCCTCCAACCAACAGACCACCTCCAACCCACAGACCACCACCAACCCACAGACCACCACCAATCCACAGACCACCTCCAACCAACAGACCGCCTCCAACCAACAGACCACCTCCAACCCACAGACCACCACCAACCAACAGACCACCTCCAACCCTCAGACCACCTCCAACCAACAGACCACCTCCAACCCACAGACCGCCTCCAACCCACAGACCGCCTCCAACCAACAGACCACCTCCAACCCACAGAACACCTCCAACCAACAGACCACCTCCAACCCACAGACCACCTCCAACCAACAGACCACCTCCAACCCACAGACCACCTCCAACCCACAGACCACCTCCAACCAACAGACCACCTCCAACCCACAGAACACCTCCAACCAACAGACCACCTCCAACCCACAGACCACCTCCAACCCACAGACCGCCTCCAACCCACAGACCACCTCCAACCCACAGACCACCTCCAACCAACAGACCGCCTCCAACCAACAGACCACCTCCAACCCACAGACCACCACCAACCCACAGACCACCTCCAACCAACAGACCACCTCCAACCCACAGACCACCACCAACCCACAGACCGCCTCCAACCCACAGACCACCTCCAACCCACAGACCACCACCAACCCACAGACCGCCTCCAACCCACAGACCACCTCTAATCCACAGACCACCTCCAACCAACAGACCGCCTCCAACCAACAGACCACCTCCAACCCACAGACCACCACCAACCAACAGACCACCTCCAACCCTCAGACCACCTCCAACCAACAGACCACCTCCAACCCACAGACCGCCTCCAACCCACAGACCGCCTCCAACCAACAGACCACCTCCAAAGACCTGCAGCATCATCTGGCCGCAGATGGTGTCACTGTGCATCGTTCGACAATTCAGTGCACTTTGCACCAGGAGAAGCTGTATGGGAGAGTGATGCAGAGAACGCCACAAACAGAATCGCTTGAGGTTTGCAAAAGCACATTTGGACAAACCGGCTTTATTTTGGAATAAGGTCTTCTCGACTGATGAAACAAAGATTGAGTTGTTTGGTCATAAAAAAGGCGTTATGCATGGCGGCAAAAAACAAAACAAAACCCGGCGTTCCAGTAACAACACTTGCTACCCACCGTAAAATACGGTGGAGGATCCATCTTGCTTTGGGGCTGCGTTGCCAATGCAACCTTGTTATAAATAATTTTAGATCAGACAAGTCCAGGATACAAATGTTAAAGAAATGATCTACAGACTATGATATTTAAAATCAAATGACAAAAAGATATAGAGATGTTTTGGTAAAACCACTGAAACATCTTGTTAATCATTTCAATAAAAACCTTAACTTTCTCTGTTGTTTGGATGAAAGCAGTAATGATTCTAGTATTTTAAAATGTTGATGACCCAATATTGACATTTTCTATTTTTTTGTAGACCAAAATGTTGTTACCGATGATCAATGTAATGATTTGAAGGGCGCCCAAATAAAATAGTTTTTATCAAAAAGCTTCTGCCATTTAGAGGACTCTAGCACCAATCAGTGACTGCAAGAGAAAACAGGAATGAAGTATGAAAGTTGCAACAGTGGTTTTGTTATGGACAGCTGCTGAAGTTTTAATGGATTAAGAATCAAGCCATTAATCAGAGTGCTACAGTGGAGCTACTGAATGTAGAATATTTATGTGAAAAAATAAGGTTGATTGATTCCTAGTAACTCAAAACCACTTGTAAGTCATTTCATTAATTCAGTATCACTCCATAAACACTTTAAACAAGTGTCAGCAATTTAGAGGTAATTATCACATTATTGTAATTTACCAGTTTACCTACACTAATTGTGGGTAAAACATGGAGACAGCATAAAGAGGAACCTGGTTGTTGCACCATTTTTCCCAAGAATTGTCATTTAGATAAACCCTCCTACCGCCAGGCTCCAGATGAACCATCCAGAATGAGGCTGGTAACGTTAAAGAACACGGAAACCTGTGTGATATTCTAACTTGAGGGATTTGATAAGATTTACCGATAGATATATCGGATAGATATATAGATAGATAGATATTCCGTCGGCAGGTTTCAGGATTTTAAGTTAATTTAGGAGTGACCACAGCGTTGTGTCATCTGCGATGTGTCTGTCTCACGGCCAGCTCCCAGGTTTGAGTAATACTTTGTAATAAATACATGAATAAAGCACAGTCATACTCAGTTTTGTCCCCGCTGTATTTTTAAATACGCAGTAGAGCTATTTAAAGGTAGTAGAGGACATGTACCTGTATATAAAAAACGCGCCCTATAGTCCGGTGCTCCTTATGTGTGTGTTAAATATAGAAATGGGACACATAACTGAGAGTCGTGAAAATACGGTAATTGGTACGATAACATTTCCAAAACCTTTACCAGAAAAGGTAAATTTCTACAAGTAGCAACAAGAAACCACAAATGCTGACACAGCAGTAAGGTAGCTGAAGAACGGCCTTCTGGGAAAATGGAGGTATATGTGGGAGTTTTGGTAATGTTTTTTATGATTTGTTTATGATTTTTTTTATTTTTTTTATCAGGAATACATTTTGTATTTATCAAAAATATTTTTTTATATGAATACATTTGACTGTGACAAAAGAAGACAAAGAAAGGGTGGGCAAGCCGGAGCACCCGGAGAGAACCCACACAGGCACGGGAGAGTGTGGCAGCTCCATGCAGAAAGGTCTCCTTCTACAAGGGAACAGCACTAACCACTGATCCACCGTGCAGCCCCACTCTGTTTACCAGGATCTAATCAATGCCAAGGTAGGAATCTACCTCAGAAAAAGGCCCTGGTATGGAGGCAGTGCTTTTTTATTTACAGGGAACCATAGAGTTTTATGGAGGGTGAGGGGTAATATTATGGACTGGATTACGGATGTTGTGAATGGGTCTGGGGAGTTAAGGGTTAAAGGAAGAATAATGAAAGTTAAAGGTAATGGTTATAGGGAAGGGGTTGGGGAGTTAATGTAAAGCGTGAAGGGAGGTAAAGGTTTGAGATTCAGTAAATGTTTTTGTCAGTTTTAAGTTTGTTTGGAGGACAGTTTTCTTGAGTTTTAGCAGAAATTATTTTTCTGACTTATGGCTTTCAAAGAGGTTGACAATTCTTTTCCTTAAAGATTTCTTTTCTGGTTTTCTCTCTATCTCCTGTTGCAGATCTTTGAGCTCCTCCATAAGGCTCTCTGTTACTTTGTTCATCTTTTTCAGAGTCTTCTGAGCATCTTTAACTTTCGTTCGAAGGCAGTACTTCTCTGTTTCCCACTGCTCCCTTTCATCATTAAGAACCTCCTCAAGCTCTCCCATAGCTCTGTCCAGTTTTCTAATAGTGTTCTTCTGCTGAACACTCCTGAGCAGCGTTCCCTTGCTTAGGAGACGGGACTTTTCACGGGTCCAGAGCCTTGTTTGCTTCTTCATGTCTTGTTCCATCTTCAGCTAAGCAGCCTTTAAGTCACTGGTTTCCTGCTCTTTCTCAGCTAAGCAGGTATCAGCCTCCTTTGTTCTGGCTTTCTCAGCAAGCAGACTCGTTTCCAGTTCCATGACTTTTCTTGCAGCGTCCTGATGTAATTGGTCGTTTTCCTGCTCTTTCAGACGCAGAGAAGCGTTTTCCTGTTCTAACTCAGCTTTCTGTAACTCCAACTGCATTTTCACCTCTTCCACCTCATCCCTTTGTTGTTGGTTAGCCATAAGTTGGCATTTTTCTTCCTCCCACTGGTGCTGCTGTTCGTCCAGATCTTTCTCCATTTTGACCAAAGTAGCCTTTATTTCACTGGTTTCCTGCACTTGTTTGGCTAAGCAGGTATCAGCCTCCTTTGCTTTTGCCGACTCAGCAAGAAGAGCTGCCTCCATTTCCTTAATTTGTCCTAATAATCTGGTGTTTTCTTGTTGAAGTGCTGCACTCCCATCTTCTGTGGACTTTAAGTTGAGGTCAGCTCCCTGTACTGCTTTTCTCTGCAGGTTTTCAGATAATTTGATGTTTTCTTGTTGAAGTGCTGTGATCTGCTTATCTTTTGAGCTTATGCAGATCACAGCTTCCTGCACCCTTTGCTTCATACAAATTGCCACGGTTTCCAGGTGTCCCGCTTTTTCATTGGCAGATTTAAGCCCTGCTTCCATTTTCTGAAGCTCAGCAGCTGGTCTCTGCAGATTTTCTAATAATCTAATATTTTCTTGTTGAAGCGCTGCCATTTTCTCATCCTGCGGCACCTTTTTCCTTTCAGCGGTTAGTTCAGACTCCAACTGCCTAGCTTTCTCGTTGGTATTCTGACGCGCTGCCTCCATTTTCTGAGACACAGCAACAAGACTCTTGATGGTTTCTGATAACTTGATGTTTTCTTGCAGTAATGCCATGATCGTCTCGTCTTTTGAGTGTAAGTACATCTCTGCTTCCTGCACCTTTTTCCTTTCAGCAGTTAGCTCAGACTCCAGCTGCCTAGCTCGCTCATTGGTATGTCCAAACCCTGCATCCATTGTCTGAGGCCCGGCAGCAGAAGTCTTGACGTTTTCTGACAGCTTCTTGATTTCTTGTTGCAATGCCGTCATCGTCTCGTCTTTTGACCTTATGCAGATCGCAGCTTCCTGCACCCTTTGCATGTTAGCATTCAGCACAATCTGAAGCTGGCTAGCTTTCCAGTTGCTATGTTGATGAACTGCCTCTAATTTGTTAAGCTCAGCAGTGAGAACATTCACATGTTGGGATAGTCTGATGTTTTCATTGTGAAGTCCTGCGATTGTCCAGTCTCTGGAGCTTAAGGCGGCTTGAAAGTCTATCTCAGAGGTCATGATACTACCTCCTGCATTTCCAGAAGAGTTTGCAGCTATGCTACCAGATGTAACTTCCATAGTATTTTCTACTAGAGATTGCGCCCACATGTTGGCTTTAACTGGAGGCACCACGTTTGACTGACCTGATTTACGAACAAAGAAAGAGGAATTGGCAAATTCCAACGTTTGTTGCTGATTCAAGGCAGCCTTCTAAGCGCAACAAGAATTTGTTGGTTGGTTTGAAAAACAAAGCTATATTTTCAACTAAAAAGCTGGACTGATTTGCTCCGTTGGAAAACAAAAACTGTTTCTCTAATCAAAGGACGTAAGTCAAGAGACGCTAACCATACGAGAGGTTTCAGGAAATGGAATGACTTAATGTCTGCACTATACTTGTAGTCTGACTGAGTCACAAGTGACCATTTAAGTTGGACTGAACCATTTAAGTTGGACTGAACCATTTAATTAAACAAAAACAATATAAAACCTCCTTTCTGGCTTTGGGAAAAAACAATATTAACAGATGGATCGAGCTGAGAGAACGGGAGGAAACAGACATTTAAATGAGGTTTGACAGATAATAAGGGGTAAGACCATGTAAAGACTTGAAAAAAAACAACTTTAAAATCAATACCCAAACAATTCCAAACCAATGAACAGAGGCTGAAACAGGAGTGATATACACTATATTGCCAAAAGTATTTGCTCACCTGCCTTGACTCACATATGAGCTTAAGTGACATCCCGTTCCTAATCCATAGGGTTCAATATGACGTCGGTCCACCCTTTGCAGCTAGAACAGCTTCAACTCTTCTGGGAAGGCTGTCCACAAGGTTTAGGAGTGTGTTTATGGGAATTTTTGACCATTCTTCCAGAAGCGCATTTGTGAGGTTGCACACTGATGTTGGACGAGAAGGCCTGGCTCTCAGTCTCCGCTCTAATTCATCCCAAAGGTGTTCTATCGGGTTGAGGTCAGGACTCTGTGCAGGCCAGTCAAGTTCATCCACACCAGACTCTGTCATCCATGTCTTTATGGACCTTGCTTTGTGCACTGGTGCACAGTCATGTTGGAAGAGGAAGGGGCCAGCTCCAAACTGTTCCCACAAAGTTGGGAGCATGGAATTGTCCAAAATGTCTTGGGATGCTGAAGCATTCAGAGTTCCTTTCACTGGAACTAAGGGGCCAAGCCCAGCTCCTGAAAAACAACCCCACACCATAATCCCCCCTCCAACAAACTTTACACTTGGCACAATGCAGTCAGACAAGTACCGTTCTCCTGGCAACCGCCAAACCCAGACCTGTCCATCAGATTGCCAGATGGAGAAGCGCGATTCGTCACTCCAGAGAACGCGTCTCCACTGCTCTAGAGTCCAGTGGCGGCGTGCTTTACACCACCGCATCCGACGCTTTGCATTGCACTTGGTGATGTATGGCTTGGATGCAGCTGCTCGACCATGGAAACCCATTCCATGAAGCTCTCTGCGCACTGTTCTTGAGCTAATCTGAAGGCCACATGAAGTTTGGAGGTCTGTAGTGATTGACTCTGCAGAAAGTTGGCGACCTCTTCGCACTATGCGCGTCAGCATCCGCTGACCCCGCTCCGTCAGTTTACGTGGCCTACCACTTCGTGGCTGAGTTGCTGTCGTTCCCAAACACTTCCATTTTCTTATAATACAGCTGACAGTTGACTGTGGAATATTTAGGAGCGAGGAAATTTCACGACTGGATTTGTTGCACAGGTGGCATCCTATCACAGTTCCACGCTGGAATTCACTGAGCTCCTGAGAGCGACCCATTCTTTCACAAATGTTTGTAAAAACAGTCTGCATGCCTAGGTGCTTGAATTTATACACCTGTGGCCATGGAAGTGATTGGAACACCTGATTCCAATAATTTGGATGGGTGAGCAAATACTTTTGGCAATATAGTGTATGTTCTTGTTTTCTTTACCAGTCGCAGTGTTTTAAACCAGCTAAAGTTGATTCTTTGCTCAGCCCAACATAAAGACCATTACAATGACCTAGCCGAGTCGTAAAAGAAGCATCACATATGGTCCTCACTACGCTGAATGTGTGTGTGTGTGTGCGTGCGTGTGAGCGCGCGCGCGCGCGTGTGGTCTTGTTTTACCTACATGCGAGGACTTACAGGTACATATGGGGACATTTGGGTAAGGTTTAGGACTAAGGTGTGAATTCAGTTTAGGTTAGGATTAGGTACATCTTAGGGTTAGGGTAAGGGTCTGGGTTAGGCCATATAAAATGAATGCAATACAATGAAATCACCCCATATGTCATGAAAACAAAGCTGTTTGTGTGTGTGTGTGTGTGTGTGTGTGAGAGAGTACTTGTGTATATCTTTTGGATTTTACCAGTAAGGTGAGTTTTAGTTTTAGGAATAAGGTGTGAATTAGATTTAGCATCAGGATCAGGCTAAAAAAGGGGTTGAAATGAGTGGAATTCAATGCATGGTCCTCTGTAAGTACTCAAACTACTGGTGTGGACATGTTTTTGGTACACTGTACATTTTCCAGGATTTCCAACATTTTGGGGTTTTATAGGTACTTGTGGGGACCAATGACTGGCCCTCACAGGGAAATGTTCTTTTCTTGGGGTGGGGGTTAGGTTTGTGATTAGGGTATTGATTGAGTTTAGGTTAGGTCTAGGGTTGGCATGTGTTAGGTGCAGGAATTAGGGTTATGCCTTAGAAATGAATGGAAAATCAATAGAAAGTTCCCTAAAAGGATATTGTAAAGAAGCAAAAAAATAAAAAAATAAAAGTTTATATTGTGTGCAAACCTTTTCAAGAACTCAGTGCCCTATGGTGGACTGGAGGATTCTCCAGGGTGTTCCCCACGTTTCACCCATAGACTGCTGGAGATAGAACACCATCCCAATGAAAGCCAGGTGGATGGATGGATGGATGGATGGATGGATGGATGGATGGATGGATGGATGGATGGATGGATGGATGGATGGATGGATGGATGGGTGGGTGGATGGATGGATGGATGGATGGATGGATGGATGGATGGTGGACGGATTAATGGATGGATGGATGGATGGATGGACGGATTAATGGATGGATGGATGGATGGATGGATGGATGGGTGGATGGATGGATGGATGGATGGATGGATGGATGGGTGGATGGATGGATGGATGGATGGATGGATGGATGGATGGATGGATGGATGGATGGATGGTGGACGGATTAATGGATGGATGGATGGATGGATGGATGGATGGATGTATGTATGGATGGATGGATGGATGGATGGATGGATGGATGGTGGACGGATTAATGGATGAATGATGGATGACAATGATGATAATGGATGATGAGGGTGGATGAATGGACGAGGTTTGGACCTTACTTCAGCTGGCAGACTAGACAGTCGCTGCAGAACCAGCCAAACTCATCTGTCCTCCACCTCCATCACCATGGGGATGGAGGAAAAACATCTCTACTTGGTTTTATCTATCAAAAGTTTTTGTTTCTGTGGTTAACTCTGACAGGAACTTTGATGAACATAATCTACACTTGTTCAGGCTTTATTTAATTATAGCGCCTGAACATTCAGTTCAATTCAGTTTTAAGGTATTGATTGAGTTTATGTTAGGTGTAAGATTGGCATGTGCTCGAAATGGTTAGGTGCAGGATTAGGGTTATGCCTTAGAAATTCTATTCAGTTTATTTCTATAGCGCCAATTCACAACACATGTCATCTCAAGACACTTTCCAGTTCACCCAGATCATCCAGTCAGATTGATTAAAAGTTTTTTAAGGAAAACCAGTTGATTGCATCGACTCATTGACTCTTCAGCAATCCCTCATACTAAGCATGCTTGTAGTGACAGTGGAGAGGAAAAACTCACTTTGAACAGGAAGAAACCTCCAGCAGAACCAGGCTCAGTGTGAGCGGCCATCTGCCGAGGCCGACTGGGGTTCAAGGAGACAGAAGCAGACATAGAAAAAGAAGCATAGATACAAAAGGCAACTGTCAACCAGCTCCACAGGCGGCCCCGTCCAGGAAACACACAGCCAGGCAGACGAGCTCCGAGCCAGCTCCCATGTCAGAGGATGAAGAGAGCACATCCAGTTAGTCACAGTCAGAGAAACAGGACTACACTGGAAAACAGGCCGATCTCCAGCATCTAGAAACAAAGGTGTTGATGGCAGCAGCACAGCTGATATTTCTCTCCAGGATGGAGTCACAGCCAAACAGGAACAGACCATACATGAAGGTATTGCATGCTGGTCTGGGTCAATTATAGGTCATCCTGTCCAAGCTTCCATGCATCATGGACGCCACCTTCCACCCTCTGCAGCAGACTGTAGAGGAGCTGAGCAGCTACTTTAGTCAGAGACTTTTAAAAGCTTGTTTGGAAAAAGGAGCGCTACTGCAGGTCATTCATCCCTGCTGCAACCAGACTACAATGAGACACAACAACCGCAATAACTGCTGCAGTGGAGGATGAGCAATTACTATTTGATACCCTGTGCAATAACTATATATATATAAATATCCATCTATATAATTACTCATGTAAATACCCTGTGCAATAACCATCTATAATGATCCTACTATAAAAAACAAAGCTTTCATATGTGAACGCACTATATATATACTGTATATATCCCTTACAGCTTTTTATTCCTTTGATACCTTCTTCGTATTTGACTATTTCAGCTGATGGAACGATTAATTTTCTCCACTGTGAGATCAATAAAGTCAATCAATCAATAAATAAATAAGTCTGGAATTAAATTCTATTTTTATTAGCTGAAATTTACAGGACTATTAGCTCCGATGGTCAGACTTAATATTATAAATGTTCTAAAGGCATTTTAGCCAAAGGATTTTAATCAAAAACATAATTAATGTGGACAAATAAGGAATAGTTGTATTAACCATACATGGAAACAGACTTTTATGGGGCCCCCAGGAACTTGGGGCCCTTGGGGCTGAGTTTCATAAAAACTAAACACACCCTCAGCAGAACATCACCCAAAGCAAC